TGCGCTCGTTCACCGCGTCTGCTAACCACGCTCGCTTAATCCTTCGGATGATGGATGACGCTCGCTTTGCATAGCGTTCGTCAGGAATTAATGGCAGAAAAGTTCGAGAAACGAATGCAACCGAATGTCAAGTTTACGGGCCGATCCATCGCGTGACTGCGAACTGGGTTCGTTCGAAATTAAAGGTATCTAGCGTTACGGTATTCGATGATTTTATGTCTGTGGACCAGGGTACTTTCCTGGTGATGGCATTTCTGAGTTCTTCAATTTTTTTGGTACTGGGTTTTCTAGGTAAAAGTTTCATAAATTTTCAACTTTCCCAAATTCTAAATTTCCCAATTTCCAACTTTTCAAATTTCACAAATTCTAAATTTCCCAATTTCCAACTTTTCCAATTTCTAACTTTCCTAATTTCCCACTTTCCCAAATTCCAAATTTCTCAATTTCCAACTTTTCCAAATTCTAAATTTCCCAATTTTCAACTTTTCCAATTTCTCACTTTCCCAATTTCCCACTTTCCCAAATTCTAAATTTCCCAAATTCCCACGTTTCCAATTTCCAACTTTCCCAAATTCCCACGTTCCCAATTTCCCACTTTCCCAAATTCTAAATTTCCCACGTTCCCAATTTCCAACTTTCCCAAATTCTAAACTTCCCAATTTCCAATTTTCCCAAACTCTAAATCCCTCAATTTCCAACTTTTCAGTTTCTCAAGTTTCCCAATTCTCAACTTGCCCATTCACTCATTTCCCAATCTCCTAATTTTCTAATTCTCAAATTGCCAATTTTTCCAATATCCCACTTACCCAATTCCCCGCTTCTTACATACGCTAGTACCAAATTTCCCATTTGCCAAATCCCTCCAATCTCTACCTTCGAAATCCCAATTACCCAATTCCCTAATATCTAAATTACTTAATCACATCACTTACTATCAGATTACTTAACACTAAAACTACCAAACCGGTCAAATGACCCTCCTCAAGTTTCTTATTGTAAGATGTACATTTTGTTGAAATGCATTCCTTGAAATCAACATTGACTTTTATCAAGATAAAGAATAAATGTGTGTACTAATTTATATTTCGTTGTTTGTTTATTTATTGTTTGACTTCATTTTTAATTTCAAATTAAGTACACATTATATGCCGGTAGGTTTAGTGTTAATATCCCAAACACAGAAGCAAAATTTTCTCCTATCCATCAAATCGGGTGTTAATATAATCGATATATCCTCATAACCTATCAGTAATCTACTGTCACACCTCTACCTCTTCCTGGTCGCAGATGTACTTAGCAGGGGCAAAAGGGCAGAGCAGAGGAAGGAACGAAACAGAGCGAAAAAGATACGGCGAAGGAGTAGGCAAAGGGAATATCACGGGAGAGAAAGAAAGAAAGAAGGAACGAAAAGAGAGGAGGCGTGAGCGGGTACACATAGGGTGGCGGAGGCGGCAGTGTAGATCGGCGGGACGAGGTGTTGAGGGAAGTAAGGTCTAGGGAAGGGAATAAGTAGGGTTAGGTGGCGGCGGGGCGATCGAGGAGTGTAGGGAGGTGTCGGGGGCAGAGGGGCTGCCCTCCTCCCTCGGCGGGACGGCTCAGGCAGAAGTGGACGGGCAAGCGATTCAACCTCCTTTCACTTTCAACGAGCGCACACCGCGTTTGCTCGCTCGCTCACTCGCTCGCTCGCCTGGTGTGTTTCATGCGACGACGGATAGAGCAAACACTTCGTACGAAAATAGGCAACGCCGCCGATTTAACCGCGTGTCCGCCCTGCAAATCGTAAATTGCTCAAAAATTCACCCTCCATCCCTTTGATGGCGTTCCAACTCGATTTTAACTAGATGCTTAGATCATAGGCTCGTTATAGTACACTGTATGTGGCAACTTCTTAATGTTAATCTGGGGGAAAAAGAATTTTTGATCAAGCTGAGCTTGGAAATTCGAGGTGTTTGAGAATTTAGGAATTTTTGACTTTGAATGTGTAGAAATGTGGAAATTTAGGAATTTGTGATGTAGGCACTTGAAAATATAGAACTTTGGAAATTTAGCAGTATAGGAATTTAGGAACTCTGAAACTTGTCTATTGATCAGTACTCGCATGCTACATCACCCCTGATTACCCTCCACTCTAAAAGCCCACCGCACACCTCTTAACGAATGCAGTAAATCGTCCTATAACACGCACGTAACCGCATTAAGCCCTAAATAACGCGAGCGTATCATTTTTATTAGTTTACGAAAGCCCATTAAAACCGTGGTCCTTTCCTTGTGAAACCCGAGGATCTCCGGCATCGGGCACACGACCCGTGCTGTACCGGGAGCGTTGCCATACCCGCGAACTTTCTGCGCATCGCGATGCACATCGATGAACTAGCAGCACCATTTATGGCGCAGGACTTTCAGTAATTCTTCCTCTTGTTTCATTTCGTCGCCGTTTCATAGAAGTCCACGTAGCAGAGTGATTTTCATTTTAGCCTCTCGGGACGATGAAGAGTCGGTTTTTTGTGTCGTAGCCAGAGAGGAGAGACTGGTTCCTTAATGCGCGTCTTGCGAGGGCACTGTATTAATCCGTGGCCGACGAAGGGGGATCCATATCGAGTTCCTTCGCTAGGCCACTTCCGACCCCGAGACCACACATCTGGGGAGCTCTTGTTTACAATGTGGATTCTCGAGATGTGGCAATACTTGCTTTCTTGGAAATGCTGCTGCAATATTATCTACGATGTGCTATCAATCGTATGCCATCATGCACCTATCATACTTTATTGTATTCTATTATTTTACTCTAATGTTATATTCTGTTATCATACTGAACACTATTCTTTCATTATTGTACTGTTATAACAGTTCATTTTTATGTTATGCTACTTTTCTGTTACCATACTGTGGCATGTACTGTCATCCACTATAATTATGTTTACTGTGTCATCATATACTGTCATTCTCTATAATTATGTTTACTATATCAGTATATACTGTCATCATATACTGCCATCCACTATAATTATATTTACTACATCAGTATATACTGTCATCATATACTGTCATTCACTATAATTATATTTACTATATCAATATATACTATGTCATCATATTGTGCCATCCACTATAACTATATTTATTACATCAGTATATACTGTCATCATATACTGTCATTCACTATAATTATCTACTATAATTATATTTACTATATCAGTATATACTGTCATCATATACTGTCATCATGTAGTGTCCTCTACTATAATTATATTTACTATATCAGTATATACTGTCATCATATACTGTCATCATGTAGTGTCCTCTACTATAATTATATTTACTATATCAGTATATACTGTCATCATATACTGTCATCATGTAGTGTCCTCTACTATAATTATATTTACTATATCAGTATATACTGTCATCATGTAGTGTCATCTAGTACAATTATATTTACTATATCAATATACACTGCGTCACCATATTTCTAGTACCATGACACATACTCCATCATACTCTAATATCTCACTCTTCTGTGAGACCTTTTCTCCTATACAGTCCTCTACTATTGTCCTACACTCGACTATCATATACGCTAATATATTTTACTGTCATTTCTACCCCACTATTCCAACTCCACATTACGTTATCGTACCCTGTTATCATACCCGATTATCATATCATATACTGTCATCATATAGTGTCCTCCACTATAATTATATTTACTATATCAGTATATACTGTCATCATGTAGTGTCATCTAGTACAATTATATTTACTATATCAATATACACTGCGTCACCATATTTCTAGTACCATGACACATACTCCATCATACTCTAATATCTCACTCTTCTGTGAGACCTTTTCTCCTATACAGTCCTCTACTATTGTCCTACACTCGACTATCATATACGCTAATATATTTTACTGTCATTTCTACCCCACTATTCCAACTCCACATTACGTTATCGTACCCTGTTATCATACCCGATTATCACATTTCATTTGATCGAATATATATATCCACCGAATTTGACGGGTGAACTGTACCGTAACTGTATGCACAGACGAGATTAATGTTTCTGTTAGAGTTTGAGTGTTATCAATTTGATTTGATGTATACGCGAATGATACGGGGTATGTTTAGAGGATATTAATATTAACGAAGTGGCGAACAAACGGAGTACGTTAACAGGTTGTCCCTTGCAGGCTAATCGCGAGTAATAAATAATCGGCGTTGGCAAGTCGCAACGGGTTCGCTTTCAATAGCGACGCGTTCAACGTGCCAAATAACACCTGCAGCTTTCGTAGGTGGAGATCCATGTTTCACACGTAGAAATACCCGTTTACGAGATACGAGACACTTGTTCTCCATCCAGGGGGGGCAAACAGGATCGTGCGGTCTTTTGTCCTGTAGTTATACAACTTCTCGAATACAATTTGGTTAAAGAACCTCTTGATTTCTGATTCGATTGAAAAATTTCGGGGAAAAATATTGTGCGCGTTTTGCAAGTAGGCGGAAGAAATGATCCTCTAGCTCGCGTGCCAACCAGACACCGCGGTTCTCCAACATTCGTGTTTCGCAGAAGTAAAAGGTTGCGAATTTTGACATAAATAACACGTAAATAGCCGTTCGCTTAATTTTCGTTGCGGGCTTTTAATGATACCACGCGAGCGTTAACGCTTCGGGAATAGACTCGGTAAAGGTTAAAATAACTGCACGGTGACATTCTTGCGGCCCCAAATCGTACAAAATTCCGGCAGCGTCATAAAAAGGTGCAACGCTCGGTAGAAAAGTTTAACGAGCCGAAGAAAGAGATAAGAGTGCAAATGAGGCAAAGGAGGAAAAAAAACGGAGAAAGTATCAGTGTTTAGCGTTTGGTATTCACGAAAAGTCCCGAAGTAACAATAAGTCGAGGGCGCGATCTTCGCGACAAGGAGTCGTCGCGACACAAAGATGACGGAATGTTCTTTTCAAGGTGTTTTAACGTTTGTTTTCTTTTTTCCCATTTTAGCCGTTCGAGCGGACCGGATGAGAGGCGGTAGGAACAAATTTGGACCCATGTACAAAAGGGACCGAGCGCGGAAGCTGCAAATGATGAGACAACGGCAGCTGGCACTGCAAACGATACGCGGCAGCCTCGGTGACCCATCGAACTATCCCTCCGCCGTAACGCCTTTCCTGCATATTAAACAGGAGATCCAAATACCTCAGGTCTCGAGTCTAACGTCTTCCCCAGATTCGAGTCCATCCCCCGCAGCCGTGGCCGCTGGTCTGGTCACGACCCAAGCTGGCAGCGGAGCTGGTCAGCATCAACTGATCGCACCGTCCTCACAGCCAAATATTTCTGGCGGTAATCACCTGCACAACCTCAACCCTGGCCTGGATAGCAAATTGTGGGCTGCCAATTCCACCACCCCTAGTCCGAAGGCCTTCAACTTCGGTGAACAGTCCACGCAACCTCACGGGGCCACTGCGTCCGCGCCCTCTACCGCCGCCTTGAAAACTAGTCCAATGATAAGAGACTTCGTGCAAACGGTGGACGACCGCGAGTGGCAGGCATCGCTATTTGGATTGTTGCAAAACCAAACGTACAATCAGTGTGAAGTGGACTTGTTCGAATTAATGTGCAAAGTGCTCGATCAGAATCTGTTCTCGCAGGTGGACTGGGCTAGAAACTCTGTATTCTTCAAAGATCTCAAGGTTAGTGCCTTATTTATCTCTAATTACTTCATCGCATTCTTTCGATGGAACGCAAGTTTCGCTCTATCGTTATTTGTTGTTTTGGTCTGGGATATGTGTTAGTCTGAATACCTTGTGTTAGGTGATGGGCTAGTGTGGTCGTGGACGACGATGAAGGTAGTTTCCAAGGGCCTCCATATTTCTAAATTCCTAACTATCCTGAAATTTAGAAGTCAATCTCTATATCTTTCATGGTTAATCTTCAAATCCCCAAATTCTTGTACTGATCTCCGAATCTCCAAAGAAGTCAGTCTCTAAATCTTCCATAACTAATCTTCAAATCCCCAAATTCTTGTACTGATCTCCGAATCTCCAAAGAAGTCAGTCTCTAAATCTTCCATAACTAATCTTCAAATCCCCAAATTCTTGTACTGATCTCCGAATCTCCAAAGAAGTCAGTCTCTAAATCTTCCATAACTAATCTTCAAATCCCCAAATTCTTGTACTGATCTCCGAATCTCCAAAGAAGTCAGTCTCTAAATCTTCCATAACTAATCTTCAAATCCCCAAATTCTTGTACTGATCTCCGAATCTCCAAAGAAGTCAGTCTCTAAATCTTCCATAACTAATCTTCAAATCCCCAAATTCTTGTACTGATCTCCGAATCTCCAAAGAAGTCAGTCTCTAAATCTTCCATAACTAATCTTCAAATCCCCAAATTCTTGTATTGCTTCAGCATCAACTGATCGCACCGTCCTCACAGCCAAATATTTCTGGCGGTAATCACCTGCACAACCTCAACCCTGGCCTGGATAGCAAATTGTGGGCTGCCAATTCCACCACCCCTAGTCCGAAGGCCTTCAACTTCGGTGAACAGTCCACGCAACCTCACGGGGCCACTGCGTCCGCGCCCTCTACCGCCGCCTTGAAAACTAGTCCAATGATAAGAGACTTCGTGCAAACGGTGGACGACCGCGAGTGGCAGGCATCGCTATTTGGATTGTTGCAAAACCAAACGTACAATCAGTGTGAAGTGGACTTGTTCGAATTAATGTGCAAAGTGCTCGATCAGAATCTGTTCTCGCAGGTGGACTGGGCTAGAAACTCTGTATTCTTCAAAGATCTCAAGGTTAGTGCCTTATTTATCTCTAATTACTTCATCGCATTCTTTCGATGGAACGCAAGTTTCGCTCTATCGTTATTTGTTGTTTTGGTCTGGGATATGTGTTAGTCTGAATACCTTGTGTTAGGTGATGGGCTAGTGTGGTCGTGGACGACGATGAAGGTAGTTTCCAAGGGCCTCCATATTTCTAAATTCCTAACTATCCTGAAATTTAGAAGTCAATCTCTATATCTTTCATGGTTAATCTTCAAATCCCCAAATTCTTGTACTGATCTCCGAATCTCCAAAGAAGTCAGTCTCTAAATCTTCCATAACTAATCTTCAAATCCCCAAATTCTTGTATTGCTCTCCGAAGCCCCAAATCTCCAGATCTTCTGTATCAATATGTCCACAACTACCCACCGTGCACACCAATGCCCTGCGCCTGGCAAGCACTTGATTTGCCCATCACTGGTATACACAATACAGTGGTCTATGCTGCGTATCTTCAGCTTCCAATCAACATGGTTTCCGTGTTGGATACTGAAAACTAGGTCTTACTACATTTTGCTAATCCGGCACATGGCTGTACCTAAATTTGATCATAAATGTAACCCTTGAAAGGTTTGAACGCACTGATGTTCTCATGCTGTATCATATCTTTTAATGAACTATGTTTTGGCTATTGTCCATTATATGTTTTGAGTGTAAATGGACGCGGTTAACAATTGAATAATCATAATCAGTAATTATATTGAAATGAACTTGATTGGATTTTGGAAGATGGCAATGAGTTGCTGCTCAAGTTGGTGCCCATAGATGCTTTATGAAAGGCAATTATAATCATGTAAATAGTGTCATCAGTATTATTGACCATGTGAATGTTTTGTCATTACTTCAAATATACCTGAAGCGATTTTTTAAAAATGTAAAACATTTAATAATGATGAATGTTTCTTTTCCTTGAGTTGTAACTTGTGAATACATTTTTTAATAAATATTGCTGGACAATATACTGATAATCAGGGAATCCCTTGTAAACTTCACGATTGTTAAGAAAACTCCCAGTAATTATACCGCGGTATATCAACTAATATTACAAGTCTAAAATAAATACACAAGTTGTTAACATAGTAGAACACATTTCCTCTTACAATTACAGTCTTCTGTAGAAAGAAATATTGTGCATGGATGATATGATTCATCCAACTATTTTTAAACGAATTGAACTTGTTACTATTAACAAAGTATAAAAAGCAAATAAAGTAAATTGACCCCTTCAAACTTTGCAATTAATTAGCACATTCGGTTTTTATAAAATTTGTTGGCAGATCCATTAACCAGTAATTGCTACCCGACAAAAGAGAACTTTATTGATATTAATCTATCTTTTTTTTTATTTTTTTTTTGTAATCTTTTTTTAATAAAAATCGTATGTTACAAAGTTGTAACAATCGGAGGATTTTTAAACATCGTTGAGAATCTTTTCAAGAGAAGTTAGTTCTTACCGATAAATAACTCGTCGCTGGCCTGTTGGTAGTATGAGCGGGGATGTGAGGTAACCAACAGCATTGCACAATCACTGAATGATTTCAAGCATCGCCTCATATCTAGGTCATAACAAGATACGTTTCTGGGTTATGGCGGTTGCCCTAAAGCAGGCCCATGTCAATTATAAACCGTCTACGTTTACCGATTATATTGTTTTCACAAAGTGTTTTTTTTTTATGCGGACTTATAAAAAGATTCGTTACCATTTCGTTCATACCTTTGAGTCATGACTTTTCTACTTAACGAACAATATGGAGCAGTGGTACACGTTTTTTTAACAGGGATCGTTATCTTTTTTGTACTCTTGAGTGTTGCTAAAATTTGGAAATTGGGAGTTTAGGAATTTGGGAGGTTGGAAATTGGGGATTTTGGAATTTAAGGTTCTTGGAATTGGGGATTTGGAAATTTAGGGTTCTTGGAATTGGGGATTTAGGAATATGGGAATTTTGGAATTTAGGGATCTTGGAATTGGGGATTTAGGAATTTGGGAATTTTGGAATTTAGGGATCTTGGAATTGGGGATTTGAAAATTTAGGGTTCTTGGAATTGGGGGTTTAGGAATTTGGGAATTTTGGAATTGGGGATCTTGGAATTGGAAATCTTGGAATTGGGGATCTTGGAATTTTTGAATTTTGGAATTGGGGATCTTGGAATTTTTGAATTTTGGAATTGGAGATCTTGGAATTGGGAATCTTGGAATTGGGGATCTTGGAATTGGGGATCTTGGAATTGGGGATCTTGGAATTGGAGATCTTGGAATTGGGGATCTTGGAATTGGGGATTTAGGAATTTGGGAATTTTAGAATTGGGGATCTTGGAATTGGGAATCTTTGAATTGAGGATCTTGGAATTGGGGATCTTGGAATTGGGAATTTAGGAATTTGAGAATTTTGGAATTGGGAATCTTGGAATTGCGAATCTTGGAATTGGGAATCTTAGTAATGTGGAACTTGGGAACTTAAGAATTTGGAATTAGAAATTAAAAAGTGTGGAAATTACAATCTAGAAAGCTGAAAATCTAAGAACTGTGAACTTATAAATTTGAAAATACATGCACACTTAAATAATTAAAAATGAATCTAGGAATTTAGAAATGTATATATTTGAGCCAATTAAAGTTCCCAGTAAAATTACAATATAGTAATTCTAATTTGTCTTAAACAGGTTGATGACCAAATGAAGTTACTACAGCACTCCTGGTCGGATATGTTGGTGCTTGATCATCTTCATCAAAGGTTACACAATAATCTACCTGATGAGACTACGCTTCATAATGGCCAAAAGTTTGATCTCCTTTGCCTCGGCCTACTTGGAGTTCCTTCCTTGGCGGACATTTTCAATGATCTATCGTCCAAACTTCAAGAACTAAAATTCGACCTTTCGGATTACATATGCATGAAGTTCTTGATGTTGCTCAATCATGGTATAAGTTTATGCATATACCAAAATCACACTGCAAGGATTCAAAAGAAACGACATATTTTAATGTATACATTTTTATTTAAACATGTAGAAGTTCGTGGATTAGTTAACAAGAAACACGTGCAAGAAGGTCATGAACAAGTACAACAAGCTCTTTTGGATTACACGTTGACATGTTATCCTTCTATACCGGTATGTATATTTTATATAGGTGTACACGAGGTCCTAATTAAATATATACACACTTTATTACATTTGTTATTTTAAGGTAGCATAGAGAATAATTTATTGTTATCCGTAGTTATTGATATTGAAGTGTGTATAAATTTAATTAGAACACTCTGTGTATATGAAGAGGTTGTTATTTTGAATGCTTGATTTACAATGAAATTTTTTGTAAACAGGATAAGTTTAATAAGCTGCTAGCAGTATTACCAGAAATCCATGTGGTAGCAACCAGGGGAGAAGATCATCTTTATCAGAAGCATTGTAGCGGTGGAGCGCCAACTCAAACTCTTCTAATGGAGATGCTTCATGCTAAGAGAAAATGAAACGATAGATTCGTTTGGCATTTTTGCCATGAGTTAGTCTGTTACTATATCTCAGAAATCAAGCTAACGCCCCTTATTGTCAGAGTGGACCTCAAAGTACCTATTAAGAGCTAAAATGCTGTTTAGGTGTTGGACCAAGTTTAAGGGGCCCTGGTTCAATCGATACCTAACGCAAACAAATCAAGTATAGACGTACATACTTTACATATATACATAATATATGTATTATAAAGTGTATCTAAATATATAAACATAATGACATATATTTTCTATATTTGATGTTGAAGTTTTAGAGATGTATCCATGGAGAATTATTACCCCTGTTGATGGGTACAAGCGCAGGGAAAACAGTAAGCAAGATGCCTTGAAAACAGTACAAAGGGTGGTTAACAAAATATTGGTCAAAGGGCAGGCAACTTTTATCTAAATAAGTAAAGCTATTTTTCTAATACTAGATGCGATTATTTTTAAGCATACCACTGAAGCCTTGCTCTTATTTGAACGTAAATGAAATAATAAAAGATATCCTAAATAGTAACGAGAAAGAAAGAAATTGCCGACTCTGCGGTCAATCGTGCTTCTGCAAGGGATTCAATGGGCATACTTGAACGACAGTAAAAAAATTTCATGTGATATACTTATATATACATATATACATATATGTCGCACGGCCACCTGGGCATCCTTAGAACTTCCTATGAAAGAATAAGAAAAAAATAATCTGCATTTTGTCACACTTGCACACAGCAGGGCTATTATGTATTGTAAATACTAGTTAACACATTCCAATTACGTTGTAAAGTATGAATCATGTTAAATATGTAATTATAATATTTTGTGTATAGTTTAATAAAATAAATATATTTCTGTTGCTTATTACCGAGGAAAAAATCATTAGCTACTTAATGTCTTCACTAATTTTAGAGTTTTATTCATGTATTTTTCTCTTTTTATTATTTTTCAAATAGGTGGCGGAAAAAGAATAACCAGAAAAGATTCGCGATATCTTATAATTGTATATTGTATCATAATAAAGATTCTGTTTAAGAAATAAAAAAGGAATCATTGGAGCAAGGTTTATGTGGTCCTACATTATCTAGCGATTAATACTAAGTATATAAGAGATCAATATTGTCTTATCGCAGTTGTTAAATAGATAAATATTTACTGAATGTTAAGATAGCGATGATCGAACGTAGTAATTTTTTCACTAATAGATTATTATTGTTTAGTCAATAGTCAGAAACTTTTCAGTGCTGTGAAGGTTGTCTTTTCGACGCCTGTGGTATCTAAGCCATCGGTAATTACACGTGCTACATTCGAGGCTCAAGCGTGGCAACAGGAACAGAAATCTTTGCTCGTACTGGTAGGCTGGTAGTACCACCCTTTGCAACTCCTACTGTTTATATCCTCTATCAATGAAGTACCTGGAAAAATAAAATGCTATTTTACTACTTTCACTTTTCCACCGACTTCGATATAAGATGTTAAATATAGATGTAAACGATTTGTTGATGTGTGTAAAAAAAGAACTCGATGCCACATTAGATTAAGAATCGAGTGTTGAATCAAATCAGGAGGAGTAGCTGCGAGTAATACTACCATGAGAAATATAAATATATATATATACACGTATATATTTTTGAAAGCATGCATGTACTTATCGTGTGAGTAAAGATTTGTGTCCATGGTCAAATTTTTTGCAAATCTTCGACACAAAAAACTGTATCAACGTGTTCCCAAATTTTCAAATCGTCTGGTTCTGTTTTAATCGATCGATATCCGAAATAGAGAGTTTACATTATTTTTTTGGCTGTTTAAAATACTTTGAAAGAAGAACAAAAAAAAATAATGCATTACTTATATTTAACTCGCATATAAATGTCTACCTCTTCATAACTGTATTAAGTCTTACATTTTTACATTTTTAATAAACCACATACCTCAGAATAGACACCCAGATAGCAAATTAAATGGAATGTATGAATGTTACCTACGTAGACGTTAAATGTCTACGACTTCTGTAATATGCGTAACAACAAAATATAAAAAAGTTCCATTCAAATATTGTACCCACTGTATTTCCATGTTAACTACGTTAATTATTCTTATGTTCTATTCCAAATTAGTCTATACTTGTACACGGCATGTACAAAATATATTTAAATCGAGGAAGTTTATAGCTACTAACAAAGTTTTCCAAACTACACTTAATCCTGTATTGCTGTTTGGGTAAAATCAAATTGAAATCATAATGTTTTTATTTATTATAATACCATTCATCACTCATAACATTTCGTGGAACGTGTCGGTCTGATAATTTTGGAACAATCTAGGAGAAAATGACAAACACGAAGTATTTCAGAAACGAAAATTGTCTCTTCTAAATATATCCCTAAATCAATGATATTTGTATGTATCCATCCTATTTAATCGTCCGCTCGATTCTGTTATAACATGTTTAATTAATAATTGTAACTAGGAAATACGAAAATAGTGGTGTTATAAGCATTGTGTTAAATATGTACAGTTACCAGTTATAATTGGCAAACGATCTAATTTAATATCGATGTGATTTTTTTTTTGATCCAATAAAATAATTGAAATTAACATTATACAAAAGGCAAAAATGAACAAGAAAAATATGCGTTGTTAACACTGCCATTAGGAGTTGGCAATTGTAAATTATGTAGAAAAACAAATTATTGATTGTAAATATATCTTTATTATTAACTAATAATTGTTCCTTTTTAGGATTGACAGCGCTATTTTTTATATATTATACTGATTGAACTCCTATTAAACAATAATATTTCCCTGATTGCACTCCTATCTTTGGTAATTATTGTAAAATACGTGCAATGCCCAAAGGATTGTATGATAGATTTCAAGAGGAGGGTAAAGGATGGTACTATTTAAATTAATTAAGCAGACAATTTTCAAAAATTTACAAGTAGTATTCCAAAACATTCTATATTTGTTTCTTTATTACATACGAGGTATAATTTAAATGCGTTTATGTACAACACAAAGTTTAATATAATTTGTAACAACGGTGTCATTCATATACAAAATAACATGTATATTTAAAACATTTGTTTGCTTTGTACAAATATGGTAACAACATAAGAAAATGCACAGTGGTTAATAAAGACATCAACTAACTACTGCATTTAGCTTCATATTCTTCATTCACAATGTTTATATATACATGTTACCGTGAAAGACCGAAATCTGGAGAATGTCGACTTTCACCGGTGAATGTCAACATTCACATAGTCGCTTGGTGCATGTCCGAAATATTTGCTAAATACCCTTATTTCTGACTTACACCGGTAAATGTCGACATTCACCATGCACTAATGGTGAATGTTGATCATGTCGGGGACTTATATTTTCTTCTCCGTAATTCAGTCGCTATAAAACGTCACAAGGGTGACGTAACTTTTTCACCTCTTTTTCTGAGAGGAGTGACCAAGAATTTAAAACACATAGTACATTCTAAGCATACGTGTTCTTCCTCCGTGGCCTATTCTGGCGTGAGTTTCATATAGTATACTGAACAATTTTTCATTGGTAACATAATACTGTATATTCGTTTCCCCTGATTTTAATGGTACAATTAATTTCCTTTCATCATTAATTTTTAAAACGTCAAAACGTTTTAATCGTCTGTAATCCAAAGGTGTGTTGCACTTAGTTTTAGCAGAAACCACTTCAGAAAGTATTTTAGAGTACTTTTCTTGAGAAAAATAAAAACAGTTGTCTTCTCGTTTACCCGCAATTAATGCATTTAACTTTTCAAGAAAAAGATCACGATTTACTGCAGTATCCATTCAGTATAAATTACGGTATTGGAAACAAAATTAAGAAAACGTTGCTCGCATCATCAAAGCTTGCATAAGATTGACAAAGCTGACTGACTCCCAGTAGAACACAGGATTTGGCGGGAGAGAGCCAGTCGCTACTTTGTCGGCTCCTCTCTTTTGGACCTCCACCAAAGCATATCTGTGATTGTCGACATGCACCGGTGAAGGTCCGAATGTACAAGAATGTAATAAAATATTCGACCTTTCACCGACGTATTTGGTATGTGTTGACATTCACCGGTGAAAGTCGACATTCTCCAATTTCGGTCTTTCACGGTAACATACATATTATAGTACATGTATTTTATTAAACATATATTGCTTCAAGTTATTAAAAATTCTGCCTCCGACCATAGTTCAAAGACAAATTATTTTTTATATTTGTAACGATATTCTTATTATAAATATATCAGCATAAATTCGTCCTGATCGAGGCACTATTTCTTTATTTAAATAAAAAAACTAACTTTACATAATAGTATATCATACTTTGTTAGTAACCACAGATGAAAGGATCTTTGTAATAGCTTTTCAAAATCAGAGAGTAAATACGTGCATCTTTTGCTCATCTTTATATCATTATTATCATTATAGTCAAGTATTAACAGGTAAAGATAAAGGGCAGAAAATTTTGGTCTATATCCGATAAACAACGTAATAAGGAGAAGTTTAAGTTCATAGCATTCAGTCCCTAAATAATCAGTCGTTGCACGGCATTCGAGGAGAAAGGAACTCCAGTCTGTTTATGTATATTTTTCAATTTTCATTCTCGTTCGTTATTTGAATAACACGGAAAGCTGTACTACTGCCACCTATTAATAAAAGCCAAAGTTTATAAAATGAAAAGTTACGCTATCGTAAATTAGCTCTTTCTACACGTCATACGGTAAGTGCAGGTAAATTACCGATCGAAGAAATGATGTGCGTGTATTACCCATCTTACTCTAACAACGGAAAAGATAACAGTTTGATGAAATAAAAAGCATTCTGAAGTTAATTAATCTTGTTCTGAATGTAATTTGATGCATATGAAAGCTAATTAAGCCTATATAATCATTTTTTTCCATTTTTTTGAGAATTGAACATGTGACGCCATCTCTCTGGCAAACAGGGTAAACTACACACCTTTGAAACTGTAGTTAAATTAGTTTGCCCATCCGCCGCTAGATGGCAGTACACAGGGCGGGAATTTTAGTTACACTTTAAATTACTTAAAAATTGATGATGGTTTGGCGCAGTTCGAACAATCCGAAGACAACTATTCTTACATTCGGATGTAATTTCGTGCATATTGAATTTAATTATAACAACAAAATCAGTATAAATTGCATTTTTCGAAAATGGAACAAGTGGCGCCATCTCTCCGGCGAACAGGGTGAACTACACACTTTTGGAACCAGTGTTGGGCAGACCCAGTGCATGCGCAGTAAGCTATCCGTAAAAGACCTCAGTAGCGTATACACTTTGATGAAATATAAGGTATCATTAGGCCCTAGAGAGGAAAAAAAATAAATCTGAAGAAAATTGCAGGAAAGAGAATAAAAGGGTTAAATAATACAACATATTATATATAATAAAAGTAATATTAAATTTATTTATGATTATTATTATTTTTTACATTTACAGCCGATTTGTTATATGAATACCAATATTTGTTGCAAGAGCAAAGGAAAATATACCGCTCGATTTTTATCAAATCTATGCATGTTAACAAAATAAAATCCATACATTTCTTTGTCATTGTTTCTCTGATATTATAATTTTCACACGTATAAAATATAGTTATTCAAAGAGGTCCATCCAAGTCGTTTTTCTTAAATAATAAATTCATTTAGTGTTTTAAAAGTTATTGTGCTTTTCTGTTATTTTAAATATAATAATCTCCCATATTCCATCATATTATTCCTATTATATTATATTATATAATTCACGATATATATATACATATATATACATATATATATGTATATAGTATATATATAGTATATAGTATATATAATATAGTATATATAGTATAGTATAGTATAGTATAGTACTATATAGTATATACTAAAGTATATAGTATATATATATCGTGAATTATATAATATAATATAATAGGAATAATA